TCAAAAGAGAGTCATTTGGATTCCCAGTTCTGGAAAGCACATCTGCGTGTGCCAGACGTGGTGTGTGGGAAACATGTAGAAAAAGAAACTGAAAAAGAGGAAGGGTCAAAAGTAAGGTCAGAGCAAGAGATGAGGGAAGTGTGTGAGAGTGCAGAATGAGAATTAAAGTAGGGGAAACGGCATAAATGTTAGACTCTTGGAAAACTGTTGTATAATACAGAAATAACAAATAAAGGCACAGGTGAAACATGGCGAGAGCAAACTGAACCTACACCACAGTGAATACACTAGTCTTTACATCCAACTTGAGCCCTTTCATCATTGCTCTCAGTACATGCTTATTATACATGGACCGCTCCCTCGCTTTATAACTACTAAGTCCCTCTGTGATCACAAGGCTCATATATGGCAGCTTCTAATTTGATCCACTCCACCCTTGTGTAGCCTCTTTGGTTCATTTAAAATCTGGGACTAAGAATGAGTTTCTGGGTTTTTCTCCAGTGGGAAAAAAAATATAAAATGTCCAACTCAATAAGACTAGATAAGACTAGAATAAGATTAGATCTGGTGCTGAAATTCAAGTGAAGAGGCTCTCATAGGAGTGAAGATGCTCTTTTCCCCCCAATGCAAGTAGAATTGTGTTTCAAGAAACTAACTCTTAGATCTTGAAAATTACCAAAGATAAAAAAATAGTTTGGCATTTAGAAAATTTGCTTTCTTGCCATCTTTACATGTTAGACTCTACGCTTTTTACGCCCTGGACAGAGGTACAACATTCAACAGCTTTTAATCCTATTTTCCATTTACCTTTTGATCCTATTCTCCATTTAGTGTGAACCGGAGCTCCCCTTGTTTCAATGTGTTAGAGTCTAGGTGTATGTGTGTGTGTGTGTGTGTGTGTGTGTGTGTGTGCGTGTGTGTGTATCTCAGGTGGTGAGCCCCCCTGGGTGTGTAGACACCTCCTGGTGAGGCAGAACTTGGGATATGCTATGTGGGTCTATGTGTGGGTGTGAAACAGGCCTTTGCTAAAATGTAAATAGGCTGTCTGGTCACAAAGATATGTAGACATCCTGTCTCTACCCAGAAGTTACAGCATTCAAAGTAAGCAGATTCTACTTCATTACAGTTGTAAGATATAAATGTATTAAACTAACCAAAGCTCAGTAGTTCTGCACAATAACCAATACAGCTGTAATATGTATAAGCAGGTAAGGTACAGTTATGAAAGGTAACTAAAGGGAACTAAAGGCATGAGAAGTAACTAAAGCTGATAAAGTAACTAGAGTCTATAAGACTCAAATCTTACATACACTTAAAATGAAACTACCATCTACAGGTAGCTTAGCTTAACTTAGCATAAAGACTGGAAACAGAGGGAAGCAGCAAGCTTGGCTCTACCCAAAGGTAGATTAAAAAAAATAGATATACTGTAATTTTGAAATTCCTAGGTGCTAGTAGTTTCCCCCCATTGAACAGAGCCAAGTTAGCTATTAAATCATCTCAAACCTTAAGCTACACTATAGCTGTATCCTGGAACTGTAATATTCAGAAATAAAGTGAAAAGCATGTTTCACAAAATACTGAAACAGTCCTTTAAAGCAGGAGGTAATAATGTATATCTGAAAATAGACAAATCATTTTTCTGCAAGATGCTACAGCATTTCAAATACCAAATGTTCTGTTTCAATATATAGTAAGTCTGACTTGGCTAAAGGTTACAAACCAGGTTAAAAGTTACAGTATAACTAACCTCTGCCTTGACTTTTACTGGGGACACACTTGCATCTATGCCTGTTTTCTGTCTTCTTAACTTAAAACCACACACTCTGCTGTCAAGTTCTCTTTCAACCCTGTAATACCATCAATTATGGTTAGACTGTCTTACTGTGGTTGGAAATAGTGTGTGTGTTCAGGGAGCTACTGTAGATCTCCTGTGTGCATGCTAGTCTGA